GGCTGACAGCTATTCGTGCTTAATGGTGGCGAAATGATAGGGAAACCTATAGAAATATGATTTTACTTAATCTTCGGGCATACGTATCTACAGTAAATGCGAAGATTACGAAAAGGAAGTTCGTATTGTCAGACATAAACACTGTTGGCTGAGCATAAACATTTTACTCCTGCCCGCGAGCATGCGGCCAGCGAAACATTGCGAGTCGGTCAGCATGCAACATGGATGAACAAGACATGGGGATTTCGACCGTCGATTGGAGCCAGTCCTTCTACGATGCAGTAATCCGTTTCTATAGCAAAAAAAATCGTGTTGAAATTGAAATTGAGGTTACACCCTGTGCTGATTATTATGCTGCTAGATCAAAGCTAATTACAGCCACTCGAGGTACAGCTCCTCCATTCTGGCGTCACCTAACAGAATACCACGAAGTCTCTATTATTCAAGAGTCACTTAAGTACTGACGGAGAAGCAACGTTGGATCAATTCCTTGCTCATGGGCTTCGAAGCCAACGCTGCTGGACAACATTCACCTCCGGTTCCTGCTCATTCGTTAGAACAATTGTCTCCATGCCTTGTAGCAGTAATGACGTGACCCACACAAAACATAGGCCGATGATTATGGAGATAGAAATTCTTTCCTCAGTTCATATATTGGGCAAGCAACCGACAGCGCCGGAAACTAAAGCGATATACTTATTCAATTGTATCTGACTGAAATTTGTGATAAAAATGATGAGACCAAATTAATACTTAAACTTGTTGGTCTTCCTTACCGTTAACATGGTGGTACGGTATCTAGGAGGTCAGCTTTGAACTCCAAAAAACTGATAACTCGTCGAAAACCATAAGCTGCAGACGTATTGTTATTGCAAAAGGCACGGCGATTATCACAACGTGACATTCTGCAAGAAACCCATTCGCACGATGGTAGAAATTAAGAACAGAGAATAAATAGTTAAAAGTTCAAAGTGACGAAACTTACCGAACCCAGTCCGTTGACTTCCTGGCAAACCAACACCGTTAACTTGATATATTAGTAAATGCCTTTATTTAATCCTTGTAGCCCCATCTTCTCTACACCCTATATATTCTTCGGAAAGCAGTTCAGAAGTTCGAGCAAAAAAACGGAACAAGCACAAAAAACAGAGTCGCAAGCCAACGCAAAGAAAGTTTTAGCTGGCTTTGACTGTAGTTGCATGACAGCCGTTAAAAACTACTATGAAACTCAAAACGTGCAGCAAAAAGCAATTGAGGACACGCTTTACATTCGTATTTTCTCCTCATTTTCGTCTGTTAGAAGACGAATCGACATATGAGCTGGTTACTAGTAGAATATTCTTATTGCAAACGAAATAAGAGGGCTAGACGCTAGCATCCGTATGCATACTCAGACAAAGACCGTCAGGAACGTACACTGGGCTAGGGGCAAAGCCAGTTCATTAAAGTTAGACCTCTAAATATAAATAAAATCACACTTTGCCTCATAAATGCAAAATCAAACTCCTTCAGATGGGCGAAGACAATAAAATATCGTACACGGTGAGAGAATATATTGTTATATTGCATTTTAGAACTTAGCACATGACCATATTTTCAGCATTGAATATTGATAGCCTGAAAATCAGCTTTTTCGAAGGTATGGCATCTTTTGGACTGCATGTCGTCACTGACAGCTCCTCTTCTGATGACTAAAGGTTCTACTATGCTTCGGCATAATTGCTTGATGTGATATGCACTTCGGCTTTCTTGAAGACGCCTAACAATAGATTTGCAACAGTAATGAATAATGGTGCATAACTCAGTCAAGACCAGATTTCCCGAATTATTGCACCGTCCTTTGCTTTTAGTTATCTGAGGGCATAAGGAGGTGAGTCTATCTACTGAAAAACCTTTCGCTGTGAATGCCAAGTGGCTTTCTAGGGACCAAGATGATGCGAGATGCGTCTGGTACTATGGGGGCTCAAATATGATGGAGCCGTGGTCTACTTAAATGGTCCCCTAAGCAACTATGGGTAAATGGAGGTGCTATACTTTGTGAAATCTGTTCTTGAAGGAGTCATGCGCCATATAACATGCTCAAAAGTGCGAACATTCGTTGATGCTTATAAGGAACGAACAAAAGTTGCAAAACATTAATGCGCACCTCAATGAGTGAGATTAATGCTAAAACGAAAAACCTACAACTTCTGAATTTTCTTGTGTTCAACGCAACTGGATCAGCAATTTCCTAATATTTCATGTTTCATTCATATAAATTAAATGCTATCGATACCTCCAGCTGAAAGTCAATAAAAAAAGAGCCCCGTCCAAAGAAGGGATCTTATTCTAAGGAAAAATATTATCTAAT